AGGTGGGGAGGATTTGTGTTTTTTTTTTTTTTTTTGGGGGGGGGGGGCAGATTAGTTCCACTGGTGGGTGTTTTTTTGTTTGGAATGACTGCGTTCGGGGGGGGAGGAGAGCGGAGGTGGATTCCACTTGGGACATGTTCTTTCGAACGAATTCAGTTTTTCTTTTTTTTTTCCCTCTAGTTTAATAAATAGTAAACCGCACCAACAACCACAACAACACCAACACAACACCTTACACTAACACCACCAACACAACAACTTACACTAACAACACCAGGTCAAGAGGAAGCGGACTGGATAGAGGCCGTTCTAGAACAGCTACGGACAGCCAAGAAGACCGCGTCCGGCATCGCCAAGGCCAGGAACGCCCTCACCAAGAACAAGGCGGCGGCGGCGGCGGAGCAGCGGGGGGGGGGCGACGGGGGATTCGCGGACAGGAACGTGGAGGAGGTGGAGGAGGCGCTCGCGAAGCTGAGGGAGGTGCCGGAGTGGGTGACGCAGCAGCTGCCGGACCTGCTCCGTCTGCTGGAGGCGTGCCGCCTGTTGTCCAACGTGAGGAGCGAAAAAGATTCATTGCTAATCTGTCTTGAGACTTTTTTTGATAAATGGTATAAATAGATGGGTTCTTTGCGTCATATCTCAGACTCTTTTCTGTAGAGATGCATTCGTTGTGTCATATCCCTTTAGACTCTTTTCTATAGAGAAGAGATGGATTCGTTGTGTCATGTTAAGAAAATTAAAAACGAAAAGCCTTTTGCCGTCGTCGTGTGTGTCGAACTATTTTATTGGTGACGTAATATACCACACCCCCTGGACCGATTTGTCAAAGCTCGACGTCTCCACGACGAAGAGGGCGCCACGATGAAATACTTCCGGAAAACGACTCGATGCGGCGCTTCCAACGCCGCCATTTGCGGCAGGCAATACCACATCACCACTCTTTCTGCGCTCGAGTGATCGAGCCTTGAAAATCGATCCGGGGTGTGTGGTATCTTGTGTCATGTCGCCTGCGGTAGGGTTTGACGCGCGTGTCGAACAGGGCTTGCTTGACGCGTGTGTCGAGTAATTAGGGTTTAACTAAACCTCCTTGATGTGGTTTAGTTGGTCGATAGTTAGAGGCAGGCAGTTCGGCTTGCAAAGGGGGCTGGCTCCAAGCCCTCACGTACACCGGTAAAAAACGTGTGGTGAAATATCTCAAAAGACATGTTCCAAGCAGGATGACGTAGCGTAGCCTCACCGATTGTCCGTCTTAAGGTATGCGTGTGTGCGTGATCTCAAACGCCCCTCAAGACTAGATGCTATGCGTTCCCCGCCCTGAAACTTTACACAGCCGTCATGCGGTAGCGGCAGTGTAGGGATGCGAGGTCTACCTCCTACGCCATACGTTTCCACGAGGACACTCTCTTCCTGTGGAAACAATGCCCGGTCCTCTCGAGGACGCATGGTCAATAGTCTAACCGCTAAGGCATGCGTTTACGTGAGTACCCCCCCCCCTATCCC